TGCAGAAGACCTGGGTTCAAATCCCAACACCCACATGGCAGCTAACAACTGTCTGAAACTCCAGTTCCAGTGGATCATATGACCTCTTCTGTCCTCCACAGGCATTGGACGACATGGGTGCACATACCTACATGCAAGCAATACACACATACACATAAAATAAAAATAAATAAATAAAATAAATAAATAAAATATTTTATTTATTATTTTCATGTGTATGCATGTATTGCCTGCATGTAGGTGAGTGCACCCATGTCGTGCAATGCCGTCAGAGGACAGAAGAGGCTGTGGGATCCCCTGGGACTGGAGTTATGGACAGTTGTTAGCTGCCATGTGGGTGCTAGGATTCGAACCTGGGTCTTTAAAAAAAAAACAACTACAAATCATCTTTTACTCTCAATAAAAATCAGGGTACTTAGTTGTAAATAATGTCAATAATAAGAACTCAGTAAAGCTTTGGGCCAGCTGTGCAGCAGATAGGGTAGATATCAATCTATTGAAGCTGAAGTCCTTTAGGATTCTCATTCCCTGAAGAGTACTCTAAGAACTTTCTACTTGGTATCGTTCATGTTTGAGTGAGCCATCAAAACCTCACTTGCCCTATGTTGTGACTCTAAATGCATGTTTTCTAAAAGTTGGCTCCCTTTCTTCCCTTGTAGCTGGATGCGTGAGTTTAACTGGAGAGACCAGCACTTTACCACATCACTATGTGCTCCTCTCTACCTCATAGTAGTTCTCTGGCATGGTGGCACAAGCCTGTATTCTCAGCCCTCAGGGGACTGAAGCAGGAGAATCTGAGTTCAAGGCCAGCCTGGGATCTGATTTCAAAATAATCAAATAAATAAAATTCCTTCAGCTTAAAGCTGCAGAAACTACTGTCATTCTCTAAGTCTGAAAGTTTGTAGGGTTCAGGATATCATACAATGATAGAGCACTGCTGGGCATTCCCAGTGTAAATAAATAAATATATACATTAAAGTTTGTATATTGAATAAAGACTATTGAGATGTTTATACATTTTCTAATTTCAAAAATATTCATATATTTTTATTCATATGTTTTTAACATTTTGGCAAAGCCTTTTATGTTTCCCAATCATGAATATTTACGAGCACTATTCATTCACTCAAAATTCATTCAACAAATTTCTATAATCACCTAGCAAATGTCAGGCACTGAACAAAATAGACACTCTTGCCCTCATGAAATTACATTATATAGAGAAAAATAACTGAAATAAGTAAGTAAAACTAATAGATATTTAGTGGTAATGCTAAAGGGAAAAATAATGCAGAAATGAGAAACAAGAAGCATTGAAGGTAGGGTGTACTTTTAGATATTTCACAAATTTCTTTTTTGACAATACCATCCGAAATATTTGATTTTTCACTTCTATAAAAAACATCCCTAGCCAGATGGAAATGAACACCCATAGCACAATTCCTTTTCACATTTGCAGATAAGTATTTTAACATAAAACGATTATCACCTTAAAGTGTAGAGGTTCAGTAAAATAAAGACTCAAAATACTTAAATAGCTGGGTGTGGAGGTACAGGTGAGTGATTGCAGCTGGGGGGAAGGGGGGCAGTTCAAGGTCATCTTTAGCTACAAAGCCAGTTTCAAAGGACTACATGAAACCCTATCTTTAAAAAAAAAAAAAATCAGAACAAAAATTGAAGTGGTGTGACAATACTGTATACTATTTCCTGTTTTGAAAATTTTATAGGAACTTGTACATAATACACCCATTTCATAAGAGGGCATTTCAAAATGGTTTACTCAAAGGGCTGTGTAATATTTCCTTTCTCCTGGAGAAACTGTATCTATAAATCCACTGACAGGTATGACCATGGCACTGACTAATTTTTCTGTCTTTTTAAACATTATGATTACATTTCAGTAAGTTGTTATATACAAAAAGAATGAACACATTCTCCAAAAGAATCCCAGTATCACCCCACTCCTGGCCTTCTTCAATATATATTTAAACTAGCATAACAGTTACAGCTATGGCTTAAGCACAGTTATCAGAATCTATCAAAGTATACATATGATAAGTGCCTTTGGTTATCAGTATCAGAAACTTAACACTCTTAGATAAAAATCTATGATAAGTGGTAATTTAAACCTTCTTCCTGGCAAGTGTTTTAACAAATCTTCTGCCAAATCTTCTATACCATTTATTTAGATTTTAACCTACTCAGTAGTTCCTATGAAACAAATAGGAACATGAAGGGAAAACCCTGGAAGGAAGCTAGACTGTAAGAAGCTAACAGAGTACAAAGAAGCGCCTGGACCATCAGGAGGCTAATGAAGTGATATTGAGTCTTACTAAAAGATCCATCAGGAAGATCACACTTTGATGAGGAGTGCTAGCTCACTATGAATATTTAAAGGTCAAAATGTCATGAAATCATTTTTCAGATTCAACATTATCTTTCTTGATTTGCTGCCAAGAATACTTCCCAGTATAATAAATCAATAAATGAAAGTTTCTGATACTGAAAACCAAAGGCACTTATCAATAAATCAATAAATGAAAGAAAATTCTGGAAAAGAATTCTAACAATCATAGGTAAGACCAATGGCAGCAATTTTAGAAATGGCAAGAAAAACTATGTACAAAAGTACATCAAGAATTGGCAGGAGATGGGAGCAGTGTGAACCAGGTGTCTGATCAGATGCTGCAAAGGAAATAAATATTCAATGCAGAAGGAAATTCATTGTAATGAGGCTAATAAGTTATTTATTTTATGGTATTGAGGGACTGAACCCAAGACCTCCAACTTACTAAACAAGTTCTCTTACACTAAGCTACCTAATTATACCTAGCCCCACAAAATATCTTAAAATGTGGAATAGTTAGCTTCCTTAATTTTGTAGACCGCTGTCTATAAAATGTTGACATTTCTAAAGTAAAATTTGGGGGTGCCGTTATTAACATGCTCTTTAATGAATTTTTTTGTGTTGTTCCACCATTCTAGAGCCTCTGCTTCGAAGGCTAGACCCAAGAGAGAAGAAATTGTGAAGAGAGCAGGATACTTCATCCTGGGGTTTGCACCAGGCATCTTTTCTTCTGAAGACCAGAAATTCAATTATGCCTCACATCCAGACTCTCAGTACAGTCCTGGATATGGATCTCAGTAAAATTTCAGTCTAGTGTGAGGTGTCTTTTCCAATTCATCGACCAAAAAGGACAGGCATTTAAAAAATCCTCACAAAGGCAAAAACTAGCCTTGAGTACTAGATTAATCCTGAGACAACTACTGCAAGTACTATCACATATGTCATCTGTTCTTCGTTCCCTCTACCAATGCTCTAGGTCTGTACACCTTTTATTTGGATATGACTGACTGGTGGTACTCATCTGGAGTTTGCGGGCCTCAACTATTGACAAGATGTATGTAAGTATATATAGTTTATCACTGTGTGCCAAGCACTTTGCTAAGTGTTTTACAGATATGATTTTACTTACTCCTCCTAGGAACTCTGCTATGGTGGTCCTGAATCTATTTTACAAATGTAGAAACGTGCCTTAAAAGGTTGGGTATCCTGCACAAAGGTTAGGCAGTTTATAAACCTCAGAACACAGATTTGAAATTAGATAACTGTCTTACTCGAGGAATAATACTTATTTACATTAAGCCATAAATCTTCTACTAGAAAATCATACAGACCTGAATTACAACTTAATGCTACCACTAAAAAGTTATTCAAGCTGAGTCTAAGTATGAAAAAGACAGTACCATTTAAGCTTGTAAGCATTAAGTGAGCTAACATACAAAAACTGTCTAGCACAGTAGTTGTGAGTCTCTGTAGTATTTATTCCCACTATTCCCTCCATTTGGATATTCATTCCAGAGGCGGCCATGAACAGATAATAGCAGAAGTTGAAGATCATCAAGCGTTTCAGGTCCAACACTAATGGTCACTTTGCTCAATAGAGTTTCTGGAACTGCAAAGCAAATTAGCCACTGCCCTTCCTCCACGCCCCTTGGCTAGTGAGCCCAAAGAACTAGACAGAATTTCCAAGCGGGTACAGGTGCAGAGAGGATGGGACTTCACCCCGGCCCGCTCTGCACCGAAAACAGTGTCTCCTTTCCCCACACACTGCAGCCTCTCCTCCACTGTTCGGAAGCAGGACTGGTTCTTCTGGTTCACCACTTTCCCCGCTAAGTGGGGTAGGGATTTCAGGGCATGTAACCCTTCGCCCCACCCTGCCCTTCCTCCCAAGGCCGCGGGTCGCGCACCGCCGGTCCAGCTGCTCAAGCTCCAGGCCCAGGAGGCGCTCGCGGCCCTGGGCCGACCCTGAACCCAGGCCCCTTGCAAGGGTCCCGGCCCGCCCGGGTCTCCAGAGGCCGCCGACCCCGCAGGCGGGCAGCGCTTAGGAGCCCCGGGGTGGCCCCCGGAAGCCCGAGGAGCACTTCCAGCCCTAGCGCCAGGCGGGCCAAGCCTCGCGGAACCTGCGGGCCCGGATTCTCCCCGCTAGGACCAGCGCGCACCCCGGGAAGCGGCGAGCCTGGGGAGACTGTACTCGCTCCGGGGCAGGGCAGAGGGGAGGAACGCACTCACAAGCTGGTAGAGTGGGTGAAGTCCAGCAAAGGTGGAGACCAAGGAGACGGTACCTCCAAGTGGCCGGGCCGCGGGACTTTACGGGAACCAGGGGGAGGGTCTCCTGGAGGGGCGGGGCTCACGGACAGGGCTGCCCTGGGGGGCGGGCCCTACGGGAACCTGGGGGCGGGGCTCACGGACAGGCCTCGCGTGCGGGGACGCCGGCTCCGGGCGGGGGCTCGGGGCGGGGCTCGGGAAGGAGCCCGGGAAGGAGCCGGGCCTCGTGGGGCGCTGGCAGCCAGCTTGCTCTCCGCCCACCATTTTCTCCACTGTGCCTCAAAACTTCCTGTAGGCTGTCATTTTAAGACTTCTCACTTCCTAACCCCAAACCCAAAGTTGATTTTAGGCATTAAAATACCATATCTGAACGGATGAATACTTGAGTGAAATGCCACGCCCAGGATTTTACATCCTTAATTTCATTTAATCTTCACAACAGTTTTGTGATGTATATTAATGCCTTAGACCTTTTCATAAGTGAGGAAGGAACGCACAACACGAAATTTGGTAGGTAAGTAATTGGTTTATTTGCTTAAAGTCATAGATTTTACTACTCAACTAAACAAACCGCTCTGAAACGTAGGAGTGCTACATCTTCCAGCTTGAAAACTTAGAACTTTTGCTCAAGAACAAAGATTAAAAATGAAGACAATGGAACAGTAATTACCACAAACTATTGGTAAAGGTAAGTTTACTTAAATTGATGAGAAAGGGGAGGGAAACACTCAACAGAAAATAGGCAAAGAATAATTTCTAAAAACATACAAGAAATGAAAAATAAACAAATGAAATATGGATTTTCAATCAAAAATAAAATAAGAAGGCAGACTAAATATTTTAAAAATCTTCAGTGCAAATCAAGATTCATTCATTTATTCAACAAACATATACTGAGCACCTACAATATGCTAAGCATTGTTCCAGACGTGTTAAATTACTGAGCAAGGAAGAAGTTTTTACCTTAGAGGAGGACCAATTAAGGTATTAAAGACAAAACAAAATCTGAGACAACTTTGAGTGCCAGGAGGTGAGGAAGACAGAAGGACTTGAGGATGATACTGAGCCTGGGGATCAGAGAAGCCCTCTCTGAGATGTTACTTGATCTCAGACTTGAAAAATAGGAAGAAGCCAATTATGCAAAGATTAGAAGATAGATGAATGACTGAAAGGTAAGGACAAATTCAGCACATCACAAGCACAAAAACAGGCCTTGTGACTGGAACAGATTGGAGAGATGGAAGGAGTATATGGCCTTTTGTTGTTTTCTTACCAAAAGTTGCTCCTTTTGTTGTTGCTTGGAACAACAAGACCAGGCTGGCCTCAACCTCACAGAGACTATCTGTCCGACCCTCCTCCTGCTGTGATTAAAGGCTTGAACCACTATGCCTGGCCTGTTGTTGTTTCTATATTTAAATAAAGGTCCTCAGGTACCACTAATTTAATCTAATTGTAAGCTCCAAATTTTCCAAAAAAACATATCTATACCTAACCAAATTTTATGTATTATTTATTCGTGTGTGTGTGTGTGTGTGTGTAGGCCAGAGGTTTCTTCCTTAATTGCTGGTTTCCACATTATTGAAATTTGGTCTCTCATTGAACCTGGTGCTGACTGATCTAGGTAGACTAGCTGACCCAGGATCCTCCTGTCTCTGCATCCTAGTTCTGCAACCAATTACGAGTATGTGCCACCACACTCAGCTTCTTATGTGGGTGCTGAAGATCCAAACTCAGTTCCTCATGATTGAGCAGCAAGCACTTACCACCAGCCATCTTGCCAGCCCCTAACCTTAAACTTTTGATCACATCTTAATCTTTTGGTTAAAATCAAGTCTAACCTTCAATCTTTGTATTCACTATAGTAAGGAAAGAGGAGAGACAAGGGACAGCATAGCAGCTGTGATCTCAGCACACTGCCAGAGTGTACTGGGTTCTGGCCGCCCTCTACATCAGGGTTGAGAACACAGGGGATTGCCTGAGAGCTCCTGGATCCTGTCCCCACTTGGTAGTGACCTCCCCCTAATTGTGCCATACCTATCTCCCTACCCTGGGATTTCATGAGGCCCTCTCAAGGCCCTAGGGCAAACCTGGCTTTGGTAGGCTAAGGCTGAGATCCTAGCAGACAGCCTGAGATGGTGGGCTCCAACCTCCATCAGTGTAGCCGCTGTGATCTTAGCAGACCACCAGAGTGCCGGGTTCTGGCTTCCCTCTGGGATGGGGGTTGAGAACACAGCAGACTAACTCAGAGTCCCAAAATCGCCCCCCCCTTAGTAAATTTCCCAAATTTTCTCTGAATTCCTACTACTAGGTGTCCAAACCTTAGAAAGAAGCCTGAGTGTACCTGACTGGAACCTGACTTGGGCTTCTGTGGGTGCTCCTGAATAGCTGATCTGAAGCCACCAGTTCCCTCCAAAATAAAACCTGAGAGAAACTGAAACCTGTACCAACCAGCTTTACATAATCAGTAAGGAAAGGACCTAGGCACCCAGATAATACAAACAGAAGCATACTTCAACTTAATTCTTAGAATCATAAACAGAAAAAGGAATTCACATGCCAAAATCACAATGAAAGAATAATAAAATGGAAAGCCAAAACACTGTGTCCCCACCAAACTCCACCAGTCCTGTAGAAGAGTTCTACAAGGAGAACCTCCTAGAGATAACCCAGACATTGAATTTAAAAGAACAATCATAAACATTATAAAAATTTAAAGAACACATGAATAAACAAATCAAAATATTAAAAGAAGATAGGGCTAAACTTCTGAATGAACTCACAAAAGAGATAGAAATACTGAAGAAAACTCAGGCAGAAATGAAGGAGGAAGTGCAAAACTCAATAAGCCAACTTGAAACAACAGGGGAAAGTCTCACCACTAGAGTGAATGAAATAGAAAACAGAATATGAACACTGGAGGATAAAGTTGAAGAATTGGACCACTCAAGCAAAGATTATGGAAATTTAAAAAAAAAAAAAAAAAAACAGGAATGGAATATGCAAGAGATGTGGGATACCGTGGAATGACCAAATCTCTGGATCATAGGAATAGAGGAAGGAGACGAATTTCAGTTTAATGGTATTGACCAGATCTTAAATAGGATTGTAGAAGAGAATTTCCCCAAATTAAGGAAAGACATCTCCATACAAATAGAGGAAGCACATAGAACACCAAATAGGATCAGAAAAGACACTCCCCACAACATATCATAGTAAAAACACTAAATGTACAGAACAAAGAGAGAACACTGAAAGCAGCAAAAGAAAAACAGTCACAAACAAAGGAAAGCCCATCAGAATTACAGCTGGCTTATCAATACAATCTATGAAAGTCAGAAGAGCCTGGACCAAGGTATTTGCAGTTCTACATGACAATAGATGCCAGCCCAAAATACTTTACCCAGCAAAAATGTCTATTATAGTTGAAGGGGAAAGAAAAATCATAGGCTGTAAGAAAACATGCCCACAAAACCAGCCCTTTAAAGAATACTTGAAGCAATACAAAGAATGAGGTATGGGCAACAGAAAATAAATGAAGCTATAGTTGTAGAAACACAAAATTAGACTAAGAATTCAAACAGCAATCAAAATGATGGCAACCAATACACATCTTTCAATAATAACCCTAAATATCAATGGAATGAACTCCCCAGTCAAAAGACACAGGCTATATGAATGGATTAAGAAACAAAATCCATCTATTTGCTGTCTGCAAGAAACCCATCTCACCTTCAAGGACAGACACTACCTTAAGGTAAAAGTATGGAAAAGAATATTCCAAGAAAATGGCACTAAGAAACAAGCAAGGGTTACAATTCTAATATCTGACAAAATAGACTTCAAAGGAAAACTAATCAGAAAAGATAAGGAGGGTTACTTCATTCTGATAAAAGGAACAATTAACCAAGAAGATATTACATTCTTTAACATATATGCACCAAACTCTGGTGCACCCAAATTCATAAAAACAACACTACAAGACTTTAAGACACAGATTAACCCAAGCTCAGAAATTGTAGGGGACTTCGATACCCCACTGTCTCCATTAGACAGGTCAACTGGACAAACAATAAACAGAGATGTCCAAATTAAATGATACCATACATCAAAAGGACCTAACAGATATCTTTTGAATATTCCACCCAAAATTTCAAACTCTAAAGGAAATGGATGGCTATCTAAAATCACGGGAATCACCAAAGTTAAACCAAGACAAGATCAACAGTTTAAACAGACCCATAACATATAAGGCAATCAAAACAGTAATATGAAGCCTCCCAATTAAAAAAAGCCCAGGCCCAGATGGATTTACAGCAGAACTCTACCAGACATTTAAAGAAGGCCTTCAACCAATACTACTTAAATTATTCAAAACGATAGAAACAGAGAACTCCCAAATTCCTTCTATGAAGCCAGCATCACTCTAATACCCAAACCGGGTAAACACACAACCAAAAAAGAAAACTATAGACCCATTTCCTTAATGAACAGAGATGCAAAAATTCTCAACAAAATACTTGGAAACTGCATACAGACACACATCAAAAAGATCATCCACCATGATCAAGTAGGCTTTATCCCAGAGATGCAGGGAT